CATCCTGTAGTTTTCCGAATATAGATCTTTTACCTCCTTGGTTAGGTTTATTCCTAAGTATCTTAATTTTTTTGTTGCAATGGTAAATGGGGTTGCTTTTTTAGTTTCCCTTTCTGTGAGTACACTATTGGTGTATAAGAATGCCATCAACTTCTGGGTGTTAATTTTGTATCTGGCTACATTGCCGAATTCATTTATTAAATCTAATAGTTTTTTGGTGGAGTCTTCAGGGTTTTCTATGTACAATATCATGTCATCTGCAAATAATGACAGTTTTACCATCTGTTTTCCAATTTGAATGGCTTTTATTGTTTCTTCTTATCTGATTGCTGTGGCAAGGACGTCCAGTACTATGTTGAATATATGTGGTGAAAGTGAACATCCCTGTCTTGTTTCTGTTCTTAGGGGAACTGCTTTAGTTTTTGCCCACTTAGTATGATGTTGGCTGTAGGTTTGTCATATATGTTGAGCTGTGATCCCTCTATTTCCACTTTGCTGAGAGTTTTTGTCAAAAATGGGTGTTGGATTTTGTAGAATGCTTTTCTGCATTTATTGATACAATCATGTGATTTTTCGTCTTTCAATTTGTTATGAGACCAACTTTGACAAACTAATGGATAGCAAAGTGTAAGGGCTTGATGTCTATTTTGCAAAGATGATTCTTGTTAAATTTACAAGTGAGTAGGGTAAGAAACTATTGGAATGTTAACAAATACATCATTATAGTGAGGAAAGTGTATGTCTATGTTTGTGTACATACACATATATACCCACACCTCTAATATATGTATTTCTCTCTTTATATATATTTGTCAGGTGTGAGTAACATTTTGACAAAGGTTGCTTATAGATGTTCAAAAAATCATGCTACACTGAGATAACTTTAATTTTACTAATGTATAAGCAGGCATCTATTAATTTTAACATATATTTCGTTACTTAAAAATTACTTGCTTCGATTATAATGAATTTTTAAACAAAATATCACATCACCATAGTTTTCAGAAGCAAGCATCATTCTATAATTATATGTTGATAATAAACAGCAAAGATAAAATACTCTTCCAACAATCATAGCCTCAGATAGTAGTTTAATCTCGAAATTCCTCAAGGTGACAAAAGCTGACCAGAAATGTATTAGTCGAGATAGGCAGGTGCGCTGCCAATCATTTATTTTTTTTGGAACCCTTACAATCACAGGCAAGATTTCTCTGAGATTTCTATTTCTAAAATTTTAGAGATTTTATCAACAAGATCTTGATCACACTTTAAATCTAAGCAATATTTCCTTGTACTTTCAAGCTAAACAAACAAACAAATGAACAATCCAATTAAAAAATGGGCAGACGACCTGAACAGACACTTCTCCCAAGAAGACATACAAATGGCCAACAGGTATATAAAAATATGCTCAACTTTACTAGCTATTAGAGAAATGCAAATCCAAACTACAATGCAATAACACCTCACACCTGTTAGAGTGGCTATTATCAACAAGACAAGCAATAACAAGGGTTGGAGAGGTTGTGGAGAAAAAGGAGCCTTTATTCACTGCCAGTGGCAATGTAAACTGGTACAGCCACTATGGAAAAACAGTGTGGCATTTTCTAAAAAAATTAAGACTAAAGTTATTGCATGACTCAGCAATCCCTCTTCTGGGTATCTACCCCCAAAACTTGAAAACATTTATTCACAAAGATATATGCACCACTATGTTTATTGCCGCATTAGTCACAGTGGCCAAGACATAGAAACAACCGAAGCAGCCTTCCATAGATGATTGGATAAAGAAAATGTGGTACAGCCCGGCCGGGCGTGGCTCAGCTGTTGAGCGTCGACCTGGGATCCAGGCGATCAGGGTTCGATTCCCGGTCAGGGCACACGCCCGGTTGCGGGCTCCATCAATGATTCTCTCATCATTGATGTTTCTATCTCTCTCTCCCTCTCCTTTCCTCTCTCTGAAATCAATAAAGATATATTTAAAAAAAAAGAAAAAAGAAAAAAAAAGATGTGGTACATATATACAATGGAATACTACTCAGCCGTAAGAAAAGATGAAATACAGCCATTTGCAACAACATGGATGGACCTTGAGAATAACATGCTAAGCAAAATAAGTCAGACAGATAACAGATAAAGTCAAGTACCATAAGATTTCACTCATATGTGGGATATAAAACTGAAAGCAACAAATGAACAAATATGACAAACAAATAAACAAAAACTTGTAGACACAGACAACAGTTTGGCGGTTACTGGAGGGAAGGAGGAGGGGGAGTAATAAAGGGACAAATATATGGTGGTGGAAGATGATTTGGCTTTGGGTGGTGGGCACACACTGCAATATTAGGTCACGTATTACAAAAATGTACACTTGAAGCCTATACAGTCTTATTAATCACTGTCACCCCAATAAATTTAACTAAAGAAAAAGAAAAAAGCTATATTGTGTAGGACCTCTTTCTGGTTTTCAGAGAACTTGAAGATATGATTCCTTTGGCACACTAGCACATTTAAAAAAGTGTACCCAATCTATAACTACATAAATAAACACTCATGTCCTTGGTGACTCTGACTCAAAGTCACTAAGAAATCTAGTGTGCAATTAACTTTGGGGGAAAGAAATGCTCCTAAAAGCAGCAGTGGGGACTGTGTTCTCAGAGACAGAAGTAGACATGAGAATCAGAA